ATAGTCACTCGTTTAGCAAGAGAAAAATTTGTGCTTAAGCTGACTTTTCATCAGGAAAAATAGGGCCCGAAAACAGTAGACAGGCAGTTTTGAGGGGATGAAAGAAAAAAAACTGTCAATACAGAATTCCATATCCAGCATGGATATCTTTGAAGAATAAAGACAAAATACAATTTCAGATAAAAATGAAGAGAACATATTTTCATTAGACTGCACCACAAGGAAATTCTTCCAGCTGAAGGGGAATACTCCGTGATGGGAAATTGAGTCTTTAGGTGAAGGAAGAACACTGGGATTGATAACTAGGGATAAATATAACAGGCTATCTTTTTTCTTCAATTTATTTAAAAAACATTTAGCCATTTTAAACAATAATTTTGTAAATGTATCATTCCATTTATTGCTCTTCTCCTTTATGTTATGTAATATATATGTCATAGATACAGTTATGACATAAAGGATGGACGTGGTAGTGGAATCATACAATTACAAAGTTCTTATATTTTATTTATTTATTTATTTATTTTAAAGATTTTATTTATTTATTCATGAGAGACACAGAGAGGGAGAGGCAGAGACACAGGCAGAGGGAGAACCAGGCTCCACACAGGGAGCCTGACGTAGGACTCAATCCTGGGACTCCAGGATCACACCCTGGGCTAAAGGCAGCGCTAAACCACTGAGCCATCCAGGCTTCCCAGTTCTTATATTTTATAGAGTGGAATAATATTCACTCTAAGTGGACTCTGAAAAATTAAGGGTATGTAGTGAAATCCTTAGAGCAATGGTTCGTAAAGTGTGACATGAAGACTTTGGGGGATCCCCAAAACCAGTTCAGGAGGGCTGCAAGGTCCTCCTTTTTCCAATAACATATGTATATAAGGTTGTATTTTCTTCCTGTATGTCAACCAAAACAGCCTCTCACGCCAGATTGAATGCAGAAGTTGATATGAGTATCCATCTGTCTTTTATTAAGTCAGACATTCAAAAGATTTGCAAAAACATAAAACAGTGCCTCTCTTCTCATTAATTTTTCAAATATATTTAAAAATGTATTTTTCATAAAAACACTTTATGTTAACATAAAATATTTAAATATTTAAAAAATTTTCAGTTTACTTTCATGTATCTGTATATCTGTATTTTCTTCCCCCATAAATACCATAAAAGGTCTTTGGGGATCTTCAGTACCTTTTATGAGTATAAAAGGGTCCTGAAACCAAAATGCTTGATAATGGCTCCTTTAGAGCAAACACTCAAAAATAATACAATCAGCAGCATTATTCACAATAGTCAAAAGCTAAAAACAATCCAAATGTTCATTGGTGGAGGAATGGATAAACCAAATGTGGTGTATACATGCAATGGAATTATGACTGCTGGAAAAGGAAATGAAGTACTGATACATGATACCATGTGGATGATCCTGGAAAACATTATGCTGATTGAAAGAAGTTAAACACAATAGGCCACATATTGCATGATTCCATTTATGTGGAATGTTCATGGTAGGCCAATCCACAGAGACAATGTAGACTTGTGGTAGACAGTCAGTTAGGAAGAGGAGAATAGAGAGAGATTGCTTCATGGGTATGGAGTTTTATTTTGGGAAGATGGAAATATTTTAGAACAGGATAGAAATCGTGATTGCACAACATCGTGAATGCACTAAATGCCACTGAATTGAACATTTTATTTTATACTTTTTAAAGATTTTATTTTTTCATGAGAGACAGAGAGAGAGAGAGGCAAAGACATTGGCAGAGGGAGAAGCAGACTTCCCATGGTAAGCCTGATGCAGAACTTGATCTCAAGACCCCAGGATCACAACCTGAGCCAAAGGCAGACGCTCAAGCACTGAGCCACCAAGGTGTCCCTGAATTGAACATTTTAAATTCGTTAACTTTATATTATGTAAATTTCACTTCAATTTAAAAAAAGTAACAATGTATAGTTAAAAAGACAATGGAGAAGTTAAAATGGAATTTAAAAATATAGTTGTCTCCAGGGGCTCCTGGGTGGCTCAGTTGGTTAAGTATCTGCCTTCAGCTCAGGTCATGATCCTAGGGTCCTGGGATCAAGCCCACATCCCACTCCCTGTTCGGCGAGGAGCCTACTTCTTCCTCTCCCTCTGCTGCTCTCCCTGCTTGTGCTCTCTGGTTCTCTCCCTGTCAAATAAATAGAGTCTTTAAAAAAATGAGGTTCACTCCAAAGAAGATAGGAAAGGAGGGCTAGAGGAACAAAAACCATGCAGGACAAACAGAAAACAAGTAGCAGAATGGTGGACCTAAATCCAGTCACATCAAGAATTACAACATCCTACGACATAGTAATTCTTCTAGGTATTTAACCGAAAGAAACAAAAACATGTATTTTTAAAAACGCTTATACGTGGATGTTTATAACAACTTCACTTGTAATATCCAAGAACTTGGAACAGTCCAAGTGTCCATCAACAGACAATTATGGGGCAGCTCGGGTGGCTCAGCGGTTTAGCACCGCCTTCGGCCCAGGGCCTGATCCTGGAGACCTGGGATCAAGTCCCACCTCGGGCTCCCTGCATGGAGCCTGCTTCTCCCTCTGCCTGTGCCTGTGCCTCTCCCTCTCTCTGTGTCTCTCATGAATAAATACATAAAATCTTTAAAAAAAACCCAGGAGGATTATGGTATATTCATATGTTGAAATATAACTTAGTTGTATAAAAGAACAAACTACTGATGTACATGGATGAATATACATGTATATACAATATGGATAAATCTCAAAAAAATGCTGAGTGAATGAAACCTTACTCAGAAGAATATGTACATGATGATACTTGATGATTCCAATTTTATAGTTCTAGAACAGGGGAAACACATTTGTGTGTGTGTGTGTGTGTGTGTGTGTGTATGTGTTTCTTAAGTAGTCTCCACACCCTGTGTGGAGCCCAGCATGAGACCTGAACTCAGGACCCTGAGATCAAGACCTGAGCTGAGATCAAATCAGGTGCTTAACTGACTGAGCCACCCAGATGCCCTAAAATGCATTTGTTTTTTAAATCTGATTTTTAAAAAAGTGGGAACACTTGAAGGAAGTTTCTGGGTGATGGAAATGTTCTTTCCTCATAGGAGTTGGGTTACACTGTTATACGTCTTTGTCAAAACTCATATTAAAGCCTTTCGGGATCCCTGGGTGGCGCAGCGGTTTGGCGCCTGCCTTTGGCCCGGGGCGCGATCCTGGAGACCCGGGATCGAATCCCACGTCAGGCTCCCTGCATGGAGCCTGCTTCTCCCACTGCCTGTGTCTCTGCCTCTCTGTCTCTCTCTGTGTGACTATCATGAATAAATAAATAAAATCTTAAAAAAAAAATAAAGCCTTTCATATGGGAAGCCTGGGTGGCTCAGTGGTTTAGTGCCTGCCTTTGGCCCAGGACATGATCCTGGGGTCCTGGGATCAAGTCCCACATCGGGTTCCCTGTGTGGAGCCTGCTTCTCCCTCTGTCTCTCATGAATAAATAAAGTCTTTAAAAAAAAAACCTTTCATATGCAATTTTCCAATTTTTAAAAAAATATTTTATTTGTTTATTTGACAGAGAGAGAGAGGGCAAACAGGGGAAACTGCAGGCAAGGGGAGAGGGAGAAGCAGACCCTCTGCTGAGCAGGGAGCCTGACGCAGGGTTCCATCTCAGGACCTTAGGATCATAGCCTGAGCCAAAGGCAGATGCTTAACCTACTGAGCCACCCAGGTGCCCCCAATTTTCCAATTTTTTAAAATTTATTTTTTATTTTTTTTTCAATTAAAAAATATTTAATTTATTTATTCATGAGAGACACACACAGAGAGGGAGGCAGAGACACAGGCAGAGGGAGAAGCAGGCTCCATGCAGGGACCCCGATGTGGGACTCGGTCCTGGGTCTCCAAATCACGCCTGGGGCTGAAAGCGGTGCTAAACCGCTGAGCCATCCAGGCTGCCTTTTCCAATTTTTTAATGCAGTGAAAAGCATATGAAAATTGACCATCTTAACCATTTTTACGTGTATAGTTTGGTGCTATTAAGGACATTCATGGGAACACCTGAGTGGCTCAGTGGTTGAGTGTCTGCCTCCAGCTCAGGATGTGATCCTGGGATCCAGGATCGAGTCCCACATTGGGCTCCTTGTGGGGAGTTTGCTTTTCCCTCTGCTTATGTCTCTGCCTCTCTCTCTCTCTCTGTGTCTCTCATGAATAAATAATTAAAATCTTAAAAAAAAAGGACATTTATGTTGTACAACCACCCATCTTCAGAATTCTTCATTGTATAAAACTAAAATTTTTTCATTTAAACAGTAACTCCCCATTTGCCCCAGCCCCTGGCAACTATCATTCCACTTGATACCTGTATGGATTTGATGATTCGAGGTATCACATGTGAGTAGACTCATACAGGATTTGCCTTTGTGTTCGGTTTCTTTCACTTAGCATAATATCCCCAAGGTTTATCCAGGTTGTAGCATATGTCAGAATTTCCTGCCCTTTTAAGGCTGGATAATATTCCACTCTGTGTATAGACCATATTTTCTTTATCCACTGGACACTTGGATTGCTTCCATGTTTTAGCTATTGTGACTAATGCTGCTCTGAACATGGATGTACAAATATATCTTTGTGACTCTGCTGCAGTCCTTTTGGGTATAACCCCAGAAGTAGAATTGCTGGATCTTACAGTATTTCTAATTTTTTGAGGAAGCTCTGTACAGTTTTCCACAGTGGCTGCTTTACATTCATCAACAGTGCACCAGGGTCCCCATACCCCTAACATTTATTTCTGGTAGAAGCCATCCTAATGGATATAAGGTGTTACCACAATATTTTAAAAAATAATTTTTAAAAAAATTATAATTTTAAAAAATTTAAAAAATTTTTTTAAAAATTTAAAAAATTTTTTTAAAAATTTAAAAAAATTTTTTAAATTTTTTAAAATTTGGAATGTTTTGCAAATTTGCATGTGATGCTCATGCAGAGGACATGCTAATTTTTTAAAACATATGGAATGTTTTGCAAATTTGCATGTGATACTTGTGCAGAGGCCATGCTAATTTCTGTATCAGTTTAGTTTTAATACATATGCTACTGAAGTGAGCACACAGTAACAAAACACAACACTAAACGTGCAAGAATAATTGAACTTTTTAAAAATTATTTTAGTTTTTTTTTAGAGAGAGAGAGAGCTTGTGCACACAAGTGCATGAATGCATGAGAGCTGGGGTGGTGGCAGGGAGGGGCAGAGGGAGAGGGACAGGGAGAGAATCTCAAGCAGACTCCAAACTTGGTGCAGAGTTCCATTCTGGGACTTGATCTCAGGACTTGAAATCATAAATCTGACACTTAACGACTGAGCCACCTAGGTACCCCATGAACCATTTTTGTTAGCAAGAATAAAGGGTAGAAAGGTTTAAAAAAAAAAAGCCCTTAGAGGTGCCTGGGTGGTTCAGGTCATGATCTCAGGCATTGAGCCCCGGTATCAGGCTCCTTGCTCAATGGAGAGTCTGCTTCTCCCTCTCCCTCTTCCCCTCCCCCTCTGCTCATGCTCTCTCTCTCTCAAATAAATAAATAAAAGCTTTAAAAAATTACTGAAACAGAAAGAATCTAGTTGATGATAAGCATGCCAAAAGGTTTAGGAGTGGAATGGAGTGTCCTGATATTTGCAACTTACTTTGAATCCCATCAGAAATAGAATGGATTCATTGATGAAAGGTGTAGATGTGTGATGAAGGGATGGGGCACATACAGGCAAATGTTAACAATTATAGAATCTAGGTGATGAGTATATGAATGCTTACTGTATCATTCTTTCAACTTTTCTCTGTATTTGAAGTTTCCATAATTTTTTCTTGGGGGAAATTTTATTTGTCTTGGGGAAGGTTTGCTGTGAAGGAGTGAGAGTCCTTTAGTGAATGGGGACCCGAGAGGCTGAGAGTACCCCGTCCAACAATGCAGAGGCCTCAGGGGGTAACTAAGTGGGACCAACTGGCCTGGAACTAGGACTCTAGAGGTACATGGGTGCTGAGGTGGGACAGGAAAGAGTAAGGGGATCAAAGGGACCAGGTATGGAGAGTGGGAAAGAAGGTGGGCAATTAGAATTACCTTTGAATGTCTCTGGGCAAGGAGATTACGTATATTACTTACTTGTTTTCCTGTTGTCTTAGGCACTTAAAGCCGGAGAGAGCCAACAGCAATGTGAGCTAGTGAAGTTCAGCTGACCACTTAGGCAGGATTTCCAAATGGCATGAGATACTAGAGCTAGAGTTTGGTTTTCATGATTGGAAATCTAGAAATGAAAACATCTGAGCGTCCCATGTGTGCCCAGATCCTGCTAGTCCACTTCACAGGAAATTACTAACAAACCAGAATGGTGAGATCTGGAATTGCCAAATGGATCAGATGCTTTGGACAGATGGCCATTGCATTTTCTTTCCTGCGGGTTTGAGAAACAAGTATCTTCAGAAGCCTCCTTAATGAGCAGAGAAACATATAGCAAGGGGAGTGAGGGGAATGACTGTGATGATGGGTTAGTGGCTGACGTTGACTTAGGGGGTTAGATGCAAATACAACTGGAATGTGTGCCTTGACTGGACTTAGCACAATCTCCCCTGGATGGGGCTGGAGACACATTCTCATGTTCTTGATCTGTGGTCTTCTCCTTTCTAGACACTACATTTCTTCTGTTAACAGATTTTTACTTCACGTGACGCAATGGATTAGGTTGTGACATCTTAAGTCAGTTATCTTGTGGGTATTTTCCATGATTTCTTAACCACACCTTTGTAAGCTACCTGTAGCAGGAGTCAGAGGTACATAAAGTAACCCATGGTTGGAGGGGGCACCTGGGTGCCTCAGTAATTGAGCCTGCCTTCGGCTCAGGTGTGATTTTGGGGTCCTGGGATTGAGTTCTACATCCGGCTCCCTGCATGGAGCCTGCTTCTCCCTCTGCCTATGTCTCTGCCTCTCTCTGTGTGTCTCTCATGAATAAATAAATAAAATCTTAAAAAAAAAAAAAGTAACGCATGGTTAGGGGCGGGAGGTGCTAAGAAAGAAGAAAAGGTAATTGTAGGGATAGATAGCCAGTTGAGCACCCAGACTATTTAAGTCAGATCCTTTTCAGAGTTTATGGTCTCTATAGCTTCTGTTTGAATTTTAATCCTGTGAGTTTTGCATGCCTCCCACTTACCCTTCCCAGTTGGTACATGGAACTATTTTTGATGCTTTGGAAAGTGGCATTTTTCCATAACATTCTATTCCTACAGTGCATCTTTGGTCTGAGCTAAATCAAGTATCCACTTTTCACTAATGTTGAGTCTGATGGGATTTTCTCTCACCACCCCAGCTGCAACCCCTAACAAAGCAGCCTTTACCTGACTGGCAGATAGAAAATTGTGCAACATCACGATCTTGGCTAGCTGAGGTATTGTAGGCGTTTGTCAAGACTTGTGTCAAAACATTTCACTGTGTGTAATTAAAAAAAAACAACACACTGAACCAATATTGAGTTTAGTTGATGACATGAATGCTGAACTGTTTAGGGGGTAAAGTTTTCTGATATTTGTAACATATTGTGAAATGCATCTAAAATAGGATGATTTTAGAAATCTTCATTTTAGACAATGGGGAAACAGACACAAAGCTTGTAGGCCACATGATAATGGCGCATCATCACTTACTGATTTGTAGAAAGTCATATTTATTAATTTTTTTCTAATTTCAGAAGGAGTGCATGTGCAATGTAGAAAAGCTGAAGACTGAGTAGCATCATGTAAGTGTAATTGTAAGTGATGAGGTTGTGTGGTGTGGGAAACTACCTTTCCGTCATAGGTCTGAGGTGCTCTGATGCTGTGAGGGGCTGGAAGAGGGGTTAAGATGTTAAATAACAAAAATTCAATGGAGGAAATTCTTAAGATCTAATTGGTTTTATTAACTGATTCATCAATAGGACAGCATCCCATCTAGCAAGTAGAGGAGAGCTTCAAGGGCTACAGAAAAGGAAATGTTTTAAAGGTAGAGAGGGAGCAGAAACAAGGAACTTATGGGCAAAGAATATGTTGTTTTATGCAAGGTCGCCCTCCTAAGGGGAACCAAAGGCAGCCATCAGCAAATTTCTTAGGGCTGCACAGGAAATTCCTGTGTTGACTGGTTAAAGATCACATTTCTGGGGGGTTGAAAGTGCAGTTAGGTTAGGTACTAAGTCTAGGTTTACCAACTTGGGGCCTTAACCTACGTGATCCCATTTTGGGCCTGTGGTTTTCATTTTAACAATGTAGATACTGAGAGGTGTGTACCTGGGTGGCTCAGTGGTTGAGCATCTGCCTTTGGCTCAGGGTGTGATCCCTGGATCCTGGGATCGAGTCCTACATCGGGGGAGAAGAGAAGTCCTGCTTCTCCCTCTGCCTATGTCTCTGACGCTCTCTCTGTGTCTCTCATGAATAAATAAATAATGTGTTTTTCTTAAAAAAACAAAACAAAAAACAATGTACAGAGAGCATGTCTATGAGCCCGGCCTTGTTGCTCAGCAGTAGGTTTGACTAGCCCATAATTCTTGCTGGTGGAAGTACCTGAGCAGTTTTCTTAGGGGCTACATGAGTAAAAATCTATTCTCTTATCAGTGTTGATCATGGCCAGGTGTCCTGTGAGTGTATTTTTCTCTTTTTGAGAGGATCTTTTTATTTTTTATTTAAATAAATAAAATAATAAATATCTAAATAAATAAAAATATTTATAAATAAGTAATAAATAAATATTTATTTTTATATTTATATTTTATATAAATATCTATTTATTTTTGAGAGAGAGAGACAGAGAGTGAGCTGGGGAAGGGGCAGAGGGAAAGGGAGAGAGAGAATCTTAAGCAGGCTCCACGCCCAGTGGAGGAGCCTGATGCAGGGCTTGATCTCACAACTCTTGAGATCATGACCTGAGCCAAAATCAAGAGTCAGGCAATCAACCGACTGAGCCACCCAGACATCCCCAGACTCTGTGTCCTAACAAGTGTTGTGTATGTGGCTCTACTATTAAGGTACATTACTTTGATACTGGTTTTATTTCTCTTTACTTTTTAAAAAAATTTTTGTTCGTTTGTTTATTCTATAGGTATGTTTATCATCACATGTTTCCCTTTCACAAAGGTATCTGGGCAGACCCTGGCCTTTGTGGAATTTGGGGGATGCAGAATAATGTTGTCTTCTAGAGCACATGCTCCAAAAACAGGCATTATGTGATGTTTGTGGTTCCTGGGAATCAAATCTGCTCACTTGCCAGAGTATCTGACTTTCCTGTGGCTCCCTCCTTGACACTTGAGCTTTTAGGGATGCAGATAGTCATTGTGGCTTTGGGCTAGAGACTTCTGACAAGAAGCCTTTCTGCAAAAAGTATTGAATAAATTAGAACACAGACTTCCATTATCCTTTCTGGAAACGGGGCTTCTGCCTGTCTGCGAGGATGTCTGGAGAATGGAAAACTAAACAGAGAATTAGGAATCCTAACATTAATGCAATTTTCATTTGCTCTCTGCTTACTCTATTGTCTCTGAGATGCTATTAAGAAATTGATGCAGGATGTGCGTGAGATAAAACATCAAAATTCAAATTGATTCTGATTTCCATTGACACTCCATTGCTCTGGCTGTCTAGCTTCTAGTGACTTTAGCCATCTGGGACCCAGCCCAGAGCATGCGGGTGAGAAGGATACCCTGAGCAGTGAGAAGTGCAGCCATAAAGCTCAAGAAGTTCAGTTCAAAGAAAGCTCTTTCCCACCCTCACTCAGGGCCTGTGGAATCAGTAACTTATTTTATATTAATAATAATAGCTTTCCTGGGATGCTTGGGTGGCTCACTGGTTGAGTGTCTGCCTGTGGCTCAGGGCGTGATCCTGGGGTCCTGGGATCAAGTCCCACATTGGGCTCCCCACAGGGAGGCTGCTTCTCCCCCTGCCTATGTCTCTGCCTCTCTCTCTGTGTCTCTCATGAATAAATAAATAAAATCTTTTTTTTAATAAATAAAATCTTAAAAAAATAATAGCTTTCCCTTATTGGGCACTTATTATGTACCAGGTAACATGCTTTATATATAATAACTTAGTTAATCCTCACAACCCA